ACTGGTTTCCCGCTCTAGACTCCCTTGCTGCAACAATCGTCATTAATTTGGAAAAAAACTTTGAATTTTGCTTCCCCACCTCAAGAATCCCAAGAGGATGTTTCAATCCTGGAAAGACAGGTCTCAAGGTCAGTAAGATTTTCATCTAACTACTCAACTACAACCGTAACCATATCGCATAAAGGAAGAAAAATGTTTCCAAGGGCCTTAACCTAGCATCTTCTCCAAACTCCAAATAGCTTGAATACCAGCCCGAACCCCGCCAACTCGAAAACTATGGCTACTCTCACCCTCATATATACCATTGGCCTTCAATCTCTCCTTTAGACGCCTGTTAAAGCCACTAAGACTCAGAACCCCTTTTGTCTGAGTACTTCGAAATAGCGGACCCCGGTCACGAAGGTCGACAGGAGGTACTAGACGGCTATAGCATTCACGCATCTCCTCAACTATCTCCAGGAAGGAGGTTCCATGCCCTTAAGGCTCTTGAAGACGAATCACCCCGCATCTCCCTCTTCTCAGGGTCCTTGTATAACCAGGCTGCACACGCACAGTTTCTTCATCTACCTCTTCCCCCCTCAATCGCAGACCCTCCCCGCCTCACTGCCAACTTTCCCACAGATAGGTCACTATGCAAAAATCACGTAACTGTTCAGCATATTGGTATCCACTTTTGTCTTCATACTCTCACGCATACTCCATCTCAGAATTTGCATTTTTTCGGCAGTCATAGCAGGCGCCTGATTCTCCCGAAGTCCCATCTTTAGAGCATAATTCCGATACACCCGGTGGTAATCTCGTACCTTACTACTGTTACAAGGATTTTGCAGCCCTTCTCGACCGAGTATGAGAAAACACTGATTCAGGCAACTCAAACTGGACTCAATTGTGCTACAAGAAGGGAACGGTTGACCATTACGGTCAAGAGTGCGACTTCGCAATCTTAACTCGGGAATCCACTGACTCCGAAGGAAGGCTATCACATCAAGATCTAAGCAGTTGCTGATATCTCTCCCGACATGGTTCCTAATCAACCACTCACTCAATGATTGTATCATTCTTCTTCTCTCCCGCTCTCCGTTTTTTGGTAGGCCATGCTGAGCAATTAGCTCTACGGAATCAATCAATCCCTTGGTATAATCTCCTTCAATTCCTCCTGTTTTCGGAGATCTGTCAACTTCTTGATTACCATTGAGCAATCGACTCAGCCACCATTTCCTGCACACAAATCAGATTCCATCAGATTGGGTGAATGTAGGTGGGGAACTTGGCATGGGTTAGGAGGTGCATGGGGGGGTACCCCAGGACTCTCCATTTTCTGTGAAGGTACTTCATAATGTTTTGCAATTCATTGGTCAGTACCCCTCTAAACTCATTGGTTTCGGTTGCTGGTAAATTATTTGCTCTTTTGTCAGTGCTGTATTTTCCCCTTGCAGACCATGATGTTTTGTACTGAATTGAAACCCCCTTCTTCCTACCGCTTCAGACTTCTGACTGAAAAAACAGGCCGCATGAACACACATAGAAGGCATAGGCCTACCCGTACCATTGGTTGTAGATTTGTGGCAGCTAAGTCTCCGCCGTACTCAGGGCAGACCAGACCTATGTCAGTTTTAGGCGGGATTGGCAGAAGAACGACGGCGGTAACTTACCCTGGTGAAGAAATCAAATCCATATTGAAAGCGACTGGTGGTTCTGCATCTGGACTGGAAAGAAGACCAGGTTCGATTTTTTCTGCAAAGGGTTGCTGGAAAAACTCGGACCGGGCCTCGGAGGTAACCTTTGGCTTTTGGATAACTATTGGGCCTATGGAAGCCCCTCTTTCCGCAGCGGTCCATTGAGACTGGTCCCCGCATAGGGGAGGCCTACAATAGGCTCTATCGAACCCGCGGGGACTGCGCTGAAATTCGGCGTGAGACGCCGACACTTCTGGGCAATACTGGGTAGTTACTATTTATAGGCTGCTTGCCCAGAATGGAAGTGTCCTTTTGTCTTTAGCTTGCTCTTCGATTGCAACTGCGGCGCCGCTCCGTTCTCCGTACCTGCAACGCGCCATTGGATTACCTTCATCAACAGTTCGCAACTCCCCGCACGAAAATCCTGGCCCGCCCGCCCGTGCCCTCGGTGCATGGGGGGGTACCCCAGGACTCTCCATTTTCTGTGAAGGTACTTCAGAATGTTTTGCAATTCACTGGTCAGTACCCCTCTGAACTCATTGGTTTTGGTTGCTGGTAAATTATTTGCTCTTTTGTCAGTGCTGTATTTTCCCCTTGCAGACCATGATGTTTTATACTGAATTGAAACCCCCTTCTCCCAACCCCTTCAGACTTCTGACTGAAAAAACAGGCCGCATGAACACACACAGGCAGACAGATAGTCACACAGACAGATAGACAGACAAACAGACAGAGGGGCAGGAAGACAGACAGCTGGACAGGTAGACTGGCAGCTGACAGGCAGAGGGGCAAACAGACAAAGAGGGAGACACACAGGACAAACAGCGTGTCTATCCATCTGTCCATCTGTCTATCTGTCGGTTTGTCTGCCTGTATGCCTATTTGCCTGTCTGCCTGCCCGCCCGTCTGTCCATCTGTCGGTCTGTCCGTCTGCCTGCCTGCTTGTCTGCCCGTTTCCGTTTCCCTGTCTGTCTGCCTATCTGTCAGCCCGCGTGTCTGTCTGCCTGCCTGTCTGTCTATCTTTCTGTTTATAGTCTCTGCCTGACAGTTTGTCTGCCTATCTGTCTGTATGTCTGTCTATCTGTATGTCAGTTAGTCTGTTTTTTGTCTGTCGGCTGGTCTATTTGGCTCGCTATCTGTCTTTATTATCTGGCTGTGGCTCTCTGTCTGTCTTTGTTATCTGACTGTAAACTGTCTTTCTAGTTAAATGGCCGCCGCACTTTTGTTTTCGTTTTACCTTTCTTTTTCTGTGCACAACAGGTGTTATGTCAAAAGCTTCAAGAATACATGGATAACTACTGCTATGAGGCTGGCCGACAGATGTTGCAGTCTTTGTTTTCACTCAGATGCATCCTGAGCAAATGCAGCAGTACCTTATGCACAAGGGCCTTCAGCACAGGCACAACAGGCTACTTTCCATCAGCAGCAAGCTCCTCCTTTCGTCGGGCAGCACCAGCATCTGTTGGCCCGCAGCAGGCTGAGGCTACCTTCCATCAGCAGCAAGCTCCTCCTTTCGCCGGGCAGCATCAGCAGAGAGCCTCCATTAGCGCGCAGCAGGCTGATCCTTTTGGTGGACAACCCTCTTATGTTTATCCACACCAACGCCCTTTCCCGCCCATAGAGAATCAAACCTCAGATGCAGTTTGAAAGCAGCAAGATGAACTGAACTGGTCACTGAGCTCACAACCTTCCCTTGGTCCTGTATCACTTCACCAGTCCGCTTTGCTTAATGCGAACACAGCACGTGCAAGGTGTGTGGCTGCTTGTGCCTGCTCCCTTTGAGAGCGGAGCCTCACAACAGGAAGACACTTCAGGTTCAGGGTAAAGGGACAGCTCGGGCAACACCAGCTAGCAGCACGCTAGAAAGCAGCACCTGAGGCCACAAAAGGAAAGGGAGTATAGAAAGCGGCAAAGGAAAAGAGAAAGTTGTTGAGGTTTCAGGAGCAGCGGCTGATCTGCATCCTACAGAGGAGTCTCCACTAGAGACTATACAATCCCCTTTGGTGTCGCTGCAGGATAAAAAGGTAGACTCCTTTCTATTTGCCCATTGCATGATAAGGCCCTCTGTTGACACTCAAGATGGCAAGCGGTCCATGGAAATCAGAGAGCCTGTAGATTATCACGTCAGATGCACTGAATGGAGAGGGCTCCTGCCGGCAATCCGAATCCTTAGGTGCGTGTCATTGATCCGTCACAGTGCTCCAAGCTGGAAGATGCTGACACGAAAAGATTGCAAGAAGGTGGATACACTCTTTGGATAATTGGCGGTGGGCATTGCACGGAGGCACGCACAAGGCTATCTATTATGCATCCTAAGAATGGGCACTTCCAACACTTCGTGTGCTACGTCTGTGGAAGACTGACTGTAGAAGAGGCGAGATTGATTGGCCATGAGCACAACATCATGGCCGGGTATCACAAATGCTGACTTTTGTGCAGAAGATGAGATGCTGGAGACAAGTTTTTGAGAACCATGGCTCTTTAAAGTCGCATGAAAGTTTGAATGTTTGGAAGAACTCGGTCTTCCGGCTACGACATGGTATGACATTGCTAATTAAACAGCCATTTCGTCAAAACGGACATATTATATTTTTTGAACGAAATCAAAAACTGACTTTTTTTGCCAAAATCCAGTCGGAATGTTTTGCTCTTGGGGGTCCGGCGTTCCCAAAACGCCGGACCCCCTACATGTATCTGGTCCATGGTTGAGATCAGATACCAAAAAAACAAAAACAAAAAAA